ACTACTGAAAGACACCCAGGTTATTTTAAAGAAAGTTGCCAATCCTGTTCCTAGGGTTTTCTTGGGACAACAATCTTGGTTATGCAGTCTGACTCACCTGAGCAGTTCCTCCAAAGGCTGGTTGTGTTCTCCCTGCTTTAGTCGGCTACTAAGGACACAGAGGGCTGAGTACAGTAAATTCTGATTTTCAGGTTGAGAAAGTCCACTCCTAAGGAAGTCAAGGTAAGAGGGGTTAGCTCAGTTTCTGGAAAACTACTTGGATAGTATTTAAGGATCTAGGCCTCCAGTCTGTACCATCAATAGTTCATCAGTTTGAAAAAAGAATTGAGAGGCCGGGCGCTATGGCTCATGCCTATAATCCCAGCACCCTGGGAGGCCAAGGTGGGCGAATCATGAGGTCAAGAGATCGAGACCATCTTGGCCAACATGGTGAAACTCCATATCTACTAAAAATACAAAAATTAGCCAGACGTGGTGGTGTGCGCCTATAGTCCCAGCTACTCAGGAGGCTGAGGCAGAAGAATCACTTGAATCTGGGAGACGAAAGTTGTGGTGAGCCGAGATTGCACCACTGCACTCCACCTGGCAGCAACAGAGCAAGACTTTGTCTCCAAAAAAAAAAAAAAAAGAATCGAAAGTACTGAAGTACCAAATTCAATCACAGCTCTAAGTATCAGATTAGAAATTGAAGTGCATCCAAAATAATCTTTCCTGAAGTTTATTTTCAAAGGCAAAAAGCTTACATTTTAGAGATGTGTAGTCTTCTTCAAAACATAGAATTAATTTTGTCAAATTGCTAAAACAATGTCCAGCCCATAGTAGTACTTACCCCTTCTTCTACATTAATGAGTCAAAGCTTGACATTTCTATCTTTGGATTACCTTTCATACTGTTCCTTCCTTTTCAATCCCAGACCATCATTTTGGCCAGGCCCCATCAGCACATGTGTAGATCACAGTGACAACTTTTTTTTTTTTTTTTTTTTGAGACTGAGTCTTGCTCTGTTGCCCAGGCTGGAGTGCAGTGGTGCAATCTTGGCTCACTGCAACCTCTGCTTCCTGGGTTCAAGTGATTCTCCTGCCTTAGCCTGAATAGCTGCGACTACGGGGGCATGCCACCACATCCAGCTAATTTTTGTATTTTTAGTAGAGATGGAGTTTTACCATGTTGGCCAGGATGGTTTCAATCTCCTGACCTCATGATCCACCATTCCGGCCTCCCAAAGTGCTGGGATTACAGGAGTGAGCCACTGCGCCTGGCCCATAGTGATACCTTTTGAGTGTTCTTTTTGCATCCCTTTTCGATCTGCCTGTACTCTGTTGCCAGAAAGGTTGCACTCTCCAGAAAGGTTTTCCTAAACCACTGCTTTCATTGTAACATGGCTGTGATCATAAAACTCCAAAATGGCTTCCCCGGACAACATTGAAATTATTCTGCCTGATCTTCAAGTCCTAGCACAGTCTGACTTCCTAGATCTTCTCCTCTAGAAGCATCTTCCCCATCACCAGTGACAGTCATTCTTCCTTTCAATAAATGTATTCTGAGGGCCTATTAGGTGTCAGGTTTGTCTACCATGGCTTCATTGAGGTATAGCTGATGTACAATAAAATTCATTTATTTAAAATGTTGAATTTACTGTACTGAAAAATGGAACCAGGTATGGTGGCTCACACCTATAATGTTAGCACTTTGGGAGGCTGAGGCGAGTGGATCAATTAAGCCCAGGGGTTTGAGACCAGCCTGGGAGCAACATGGTGAAACCCTGTCTCCACCAAAAAAAAAAAAAAAAAAAAAAAAAAGCAAAAATTAGCTGGGCATGGTGGTACATCCCTGTAGTCCTAGCTCAGCTGCTTGGGAGGCTGAGGAGGGAGGATTTGTAAGCCTGGGAGGCAGAGGTTGCAGTGAGCTGTTGTGGGGGGAAGCATTAATTTCCAGCCTGCTGTTTGCTGGTAAAAGAAGTAAAACAGCAAAAAGTTGAAGTCAGTAGTCAGGCAAGATGCTGACTTCACCAGCTTGGCCATGGCAGGGCCTGAAGGCTAAAAAAAATAACTCCCCTCTCTGTAACTGGTGCCTATGTTATCTATAAGCCTTAAAAATATTGCCAAAAAAAAAAAAAAAAGTTTTTCCTGCTGCCCAAGGACCTTCCCTAAGTCACGTTGGCGCAAACCAGACTCCTCTCTACTTAAAAATGCCTCTAACATTAAATAATTTACTGCCTTTGTTCAACTTCTATAGCTCTCCCCCTTTGCCTCTTCTGGTGCGCACTACATGTAAATTAGCAAATCAATGAAGGCCAAAGACTGTAAGGTCGGCTGCCTGGCCAATGGGCAATAACACAGTTTCACCTCTGCTCCCCCTCGGGTTGTAGGTCTTTAAAAAGAAAAAAAAAAAAAAAAAACTGCTTTTTGGGGAGCTTGGCTTTTAAACACAAGTCAACCGATGCTCCATAGCTAGCTAAATAAAGTCTCTTCCTTCCTCACTCTGGTGTCAGTGGCTCGTCCTGCAACACTGTGATTTGTGTCACTGCACTCCAGCCTGGGCAACAGAGCAAAACCCTATCTCAGGGGAAAAAAAAAAAAAGACTAGGGAGGTGGCTTAGCCTATAATCCCAGCACCACTTTGAGAGGCTAAGGCTGGTGGATCACGAGGTCAGGAGTTCAAGACCAGCCTGGGCAAGGTGGTGAAACCTGTTTCTGCTAAATATGCAAAAATTAGCTGGGCACAGTGGCAGGTGCCTGTAATCCCAGCTACTCAGGAGGCTGAGGCAGAAGAATCACTTGAATCTGGGTGGCAGAGGTTACAGTGAGCTGAGATCACACCACTGTACTCCAGCCTGAGTGATAGAGTGAGACTCAGTCTCAAAAAAAAAAAAGGATGGGAAACAAGTTTAGAATATACTATGTAAAACCACAGGCTAAATTGCTAAAAATGTTCCTCTATCAGACCCTAGTGGACATATGGTTTCATTTCCCTTGGGTAAATGAATACCTAGGGATGGAATGGGTGAGTCACCTGGTAGGTACATGTCTAACTTTTCAAGAAACTACCAAACTATTTCCAATATGGATATACCATTGTAAAGTCTCCCTAGCAGCATATGAGAGCTCTAGATGCTCCACATTCTCACCAACACTTGGCATGCTAAGTCTTTTTAATGTAGCTGTGCTAGTGAGTGTGTTATGCTATCTCATCATGCTTTTAATTTGCATTTCTTTAATAACTAATAATAATAATAAACATCCTTTCATGTATTTATTTTATTTTTTGTTTTTTATAATTTTTAGAGATGGTTTATTTTCTGTGTTAACTTTCCTGGGCCATGGTGCCCAGAATTTTTTTTTTTTTTTTTTTTGAGACAGGGTCTGGTTCTGTTGCCCAGGTTGGAGTGCAGTGTTGGAATCTTGACTCACTGCAACCTCTGCCTCACAGGCTCAAGCCATGCCCAGCTTCTTTTTGTATTTTTTGTACAGACAGGGTTTTACCATGCTGCCCAGGCTGGTCTCAAACTCCTGAGCACAAGTGATCCGCCCAACTTGGCCTCCCAAAGTGCTGGGATTACAGGCATAAGCTACCATGTCCAGCCCTGTTCACATGTTTATTAGCCATCTATAAGTCTCCTTAATAAATTGTTCAAATTTTTTGTCAGGCACTGCTTTTAAGTACTGAGGATATAAAAATGACAGATATCTGCCTCCATGGAGCTCAAAGTCTAACAGGAAAGCCTGGATGAACAAGTAATTATAATAAAATTTGATTAAGTTTTATCACAAATGGGTACCAGAGTGTTAGGAGAGAACTGGGTGTTAGAGAGGTAGGATGGATGCTTAAGTCCAGATCTCAAGAGATGTGATGAGTCAGAAAAAGTTGTGGATCAAGAAGAGTGGGGGTCCTGACAGAAGAATGAACATGTGCAAAGCCTCCCACGTAAAAGTTATATAGGGTGCTAAAATTAACTCAGTGAGGCTGGAGGCAGAGTGTAAGTAAGTGGAATAGCAGGAGTCACAAGAAGACCTAGAGGCTAGGTAAGAGAGTTATAACTCAAGAAAAATCTAACAGCAATCAGAAATCAAAATTGGGATAGGATCAAATTGGGTTTGTGTTAGGAAGATCACTCTTACTGCCATGTGAAGAATGGACTGTGAGAGGTCAAGTGTGAACCTAGCCCAAGCCAGGTTGAGAGATGATGGGAGTCTGGAAGCAGTGGAGAAACAGGGACAGATGACTAGAATCTAGATGCTATTTATAATAAAATCAACAGGAATCAGATGTGGGGAAAAGATGGTGGAGAACAGAGGGAGAGACAAAGAATAATTCCTTGTTTCTGCTTTAGGCAACTGGCGGTACCATTTACTAAGCCAGGCAAAGCTGAAGGAGTGTGCTAGGGATGACACATTCCATTTTGGATGTGGAGTCTGAGGTGTCAATGACACATCTAAGGAGGTGTTGAGTAGGCAGTTGAATATAAATGCCTATAGCTCAGAAGATAAATTTTGGCTAAATTTAAGCTTGGGCAGAATTGACCAGAAATCTTATATAAGAACAGAGAGCCCAAGGCCTGTCCCTGAGGAACAAAAGTATTTAAGGGGCACACCTCCCTTAGTTCTACTTTTGTCCATGTTGTGCCTTCCACCACCTCCTTTCTTTTTTTTTTCCCTCTCTCTTCAAAGGCCATACACCTTTCTAGGGTTCCCTCAAGTCTCACTGTTTCCACGAAGGTATCATGAAATAGCCCAGCTTACGCTGTGTTCAGGTTGTAACCTAACAATCTGGAATTAAAGCATGCTAAAGGAAACTGGACTGAGGATCAGATGGCCAGATTTGTTATACGTGAGCTCATCAGCAAGTAACCTAATTTGTCAAATGGGTTAACAATAGAGGTTCCAAAGGGCTCAGAGGGTACAAGACCAAATGAAATAATACAGACAAAAACACTCCCCCCAAATTAAAGCACCACATTTATATAAGGTTTTTGAGCCTTTTCTTTCTTTTCTACATTTCAGTGCCTTGGTAACTGATTGTCAAGGAAAAGCAGTATATACTAATTTCTCTCCACACTTCCCACATACTCACCAAGCAAAAAGCCCATGAAAAATCTGCAGCAGCCTCTGATAGCAGGAAGACATTATGTGGTACTCTGGAACTTTCACTCCTGGTCCATCAACTACATCATGGTTCTCAGCAGCTAAGCACTAAAAATTAAAATGATTTTAGGATAGTTGCTTCAGTAATTTTCCTCATTTTCCTTTTTCTCAACCAAATATGAAACCTTATATTCATTTAGTGGCTTCTAAGTCTAGGCTTCTGACCTGAAAATAGTTGTGAATGTTCTCCAGATGGTTACACATTGGGGTCAGCAGTTGAAAAACACAACGAACAATTTCTTGGGCAGATCTCAGACGGAGATGTGAGAATCCAATATTCCGGCTTCCTTTGTTCTATAATAAATTCAGAGTTATGGGTGAAGACACTGCTGGATAGCTTCTCAGAAACTAAGGGTTTGCAATGGAGTCAAGTCACCTGTGTTGCTAGGTAAGAGCAGATGGGAGAAATGAGTTGTTCACCTATGACTATATTCTGATAGAGGGATAAAAATCCTGCTCTATTTCCCAATAACTGAGAAATTGGCTTCTGAAGAGTAGGAACAGTGTTTGATTGAGACATATAGACCTATCGTAACTAATCAGATAAGGGTCATATAAAAGTAGAAATCATTTACGTTGACAAATGTAGAATAGACTCCTTATAATTGTTTTTTTTTGAGACAAGGTTCTGCTCTGTCACGCAGGCTGGAGTGCGATGGCACTATCACAGCTCATTGCAGCCTTGAACTTCTGGGCTCAAGCAATCCTTTAACCTCAGCCTCCTGAGTAGCTGAAACCACAGGCACATGCCACCAAGCATGGCTAGTTTTGGTATTTTCTGTAGAGATGGGGCTTAACCACATTGTCCAGGCTGGTCTCAAACTCCTGAGCTCAAGCAATCCACCCACCTTGGCCTCCCAAAGTGCTGGGGTTACAGGAGTGAGCCACCATGCTCAACCTCCTTCTTATAATTGGGAAAAAAAAAAAGTAGAAGCCTGGGCAATATGCTGAAACTCTTCTTTACAAAAAATACAAAACTTAGCTGGGTGTGGTGGCACATGCCTGTGGTCCTAGCTACTCAGGAGGCTGACATGGGAGGATTACTTGAATCCAGGAGGTAGAGGTTGCACTGAGCCAATATTGTGCCACAGGACTCCAGCCTGGGCAACAGAGCAAAACCCTGTTTCAAAAAGAAAAAGTAGAGCTGTAGTGGGAAAATCCTACAAGCGCCAAGGCAGGAGCAAAAGGCCTCAGCCTATTTCCATGTAAATAATGAAGAAACTAACTAGAAATATAATCATAGTAGTTATTAGTCATTCATATGTGATCTTATTCACATGTAATCTTAGTTATTAACAGGTGATCTTAATTCCTTTACTAATGCCTATCAGGTCGGAAGTGTGAACCTGGGGTGACATTGTGAAATGCATGACACTAAGGCAAGATGCTCTAAGCCCTCTGTCATGCCCACATAAGGGCTGCTGAAGAGTACCTTGGCTGTGTGGCAGCGCCAGCACTGTGAAAGCGCCTGCTGTTTAGCCAGCTAGGGAAGCAGATGTCCAAAATGGCTGAGACATCTCCTTCCTGGGGAAGTTTGGAGAAAACTCTGCTCCTTTAAGCTCTTGTGGTAAGGACTGACGGCTGTCAGGCACACCCACAGACATCTGGGGGCTTAACTGTCTCTATGTGATGCTGTGCTTCGGTGGTCACATTCCATGTCTATTCTTAAGTTCTACTTCTGCACCTGGTTCCTTTTGTCTTAGAAAAGATAATCAGTAATAGTAATGTAAATCTTAATGTTTTAGTTCTTTCTTGATAAGTATGGAAAAGGTGCTGATGCATTATGCTCCTTACCTCAATTCGGGTGCCAGAAATTCCTTAGTCCCTACCTGAATGACACGTGATGTACTTGACCCTATCACTGCCATGCCCTATCTACCCTGCCCCCAGTCTTCAACCACCAAGGCCCCCCGTCCTACCTACCCTACCCCGAGATTTGCAACTCAATAAAAGTGAGAGTGTCCTGCATTCAGGGCCACTACTGGTCTCCTCAATTTGGGTAGCAGTGGAACCCTGGGCCCAAACTCTCTCTTCTTTATCTCTGTGTCTTGTGTCTTTTATTTCTACACTTTCTTGTCTCCGCACCATCTGGGAGCAGCTCATGAACCCTGTAGGGCTGGACCCTACATAGAGCCAATAGTGAATACAAAGAAGAATGAATCAACTGGGTATATTAGTGTTTAAAAGCATATACCCAAGGTTTTCATATTTTATTATATGCACCACCTAGGTGCACATTTGTATACTGTATACACACCTCAAGTTCTGGCCTCTCTAGACAGCCTACTACTATACTGAGGCATGGGCCCGGGCTTAGTTTGGGAGGACAGGATTCAGGAATGTTCAGAGCATTTAGAAATACATTTCTTATGCTGGGCGCTATGGCTCATGCCTGTAATGCCAGCACTTTGGGAGGCCAAGGTGGGTGGATCACAAGGTCAGGAATTCAAGACCAGCCTGACAAACATAGTGAAACCCTGTCTCTACTAAAAATATAAAAATTAGCCAAGCATGATGGTGTGTGCCTGTAATCCAGGCTACAGAGGAGGCTGAGGCAGGAGAATGGCTTGAACCTGACAGGTGGAGGTTGCAGTGAGCCAAGATCACACCACTGCACTCCAGCCTGGGTGACAGAGCAAGAGTCCGCATCTAAAAAACAAACAAAAAAGAAATAAGATTTCTTATTCTAGGTGCCTTTGTTTTCTGTTTCAGACTTCCTTTTTTTTTTTTTTTTGAGATGGAGTCTCGCTCTACTGCCCAGAGTGGAGTGTAGTAGTGCAATCTTGGCTCACTGCACCTTCTGCCTCCCAGGTTCAAGCAATTCTCCTGCCTTAGCCTCCACAGTAGCTGGGACTACAGGCATGCGACACCATACCCAGATAACGTAATTTTTTTTTTGCAGACAGTTTCGCTCTTGTTGCCCAGGCTGGAGTGCAATGGTGCCATCTTGGCTCACCACAACCTCTGCCTCCTGGGTTCAAGCGATTCTCCTGCCTCAGCCTTCTGAGTAGTTGGGATTACAGGCAAGCATCACCACGCCCGGTTAATTTTTGTACTTTTAGTAGAGACAGGGTTTCTCCATGTTGGTCAGGTTGGTCTCGAACTCCCGACCTCAAGTGATCCACCAGGCTTGACTTCCCAAAGTGCTGGGATTACAGGCGTGAGCCACCGCGCCCGGCTTTTTTTACATTTTTTATTTTTAGTAGAGACGGGCTTTTGCCATGTTGGCCAGGCTGGTCTCCAACTCCTGACCCCAGGTGATCCACCTGCATCGGTCTTTCAAAGTGCTAGGATTATGGGTGAGTCACTGCACTAGTACACTTTCTTTCTTTCTTTTTTTTTTTTTTTTTTTGGTACGTACTCTGTCGCTCAGACTGGAGTACAGGGGTGCAATCTCAGCTCACTGCAACCTTCACCTCCCAGTTCAAGTGATTCTCATGCCTCAGCTTCCCAAGTAGCTGGGACTACAGCCGTGCCACCACATCTGGTTAGTTCTTTTTATATTTTTAGTAGAGATGGGGTTTCACCATGTTGGACAGGCTAGTCTGGAACTCCTGAACTCAAGTGATCTGCCCTCCTTGGCCTCCCAAAGTGCTGGGATTACAGGCATGAGCCACCACACCCAGCCTTCAGACTTCCTTTTCAAAGCAAGATGGATATCATCTGGCAATACAGCTGCACCCATGCTATCCAGTGGCCCAAACACAATGCCAGATAAAGTGACAACTTTTTCAGCACTAATACCTCCTTTGTTTCCAAATCCACTAAGCCCAAGTCCTATGCTTCTGCCTATACTAACCTTGAGAAAGGGAATTCTCCTGGCAATAAAAGGTGTCAGCATACTCTCCAGCTTCTGGGAGAGATCTTCCAGCAAGAAAAGTAGCTCAGGGGGCCCAAGTTGCACAACTTCTGTAGCCTGTCACATGGATGAAAGTATTAGTTTCAAGAATATCCTAGTCATTTCATGTTAACTCTTTTTTTTTTTTCTTTTTCATAAATGTACAGTGGCAGGATCATAGCTATTCCAGCCTTGAACTCCTGGGTTCAAGTTACTCTCCCATCTCAGCCTCCTGAGTAGCTGGCACTATAGGTGCATGCAACGATGTGCAGCTAATTTTTTTTTTTTTAAATAAGAAATGAGGTTTCACTATATTGTCCAAGCTGGTCTCAAACTCCCGGGCTCAGATGATCCTTTTGTCTCAGCCTCCAAAAGTGCCAAGATAACAGGTATGAACCAACACATCCTGGCCCAGCTGATTTTTAAATTTTATAGAGATGGGGTCTCACATTGTTGCCCAGGCTGGTTTCAAACTCCTGGGCTCAAGCAATCCTCCTGCTTTGGCCTCCCAAGGTATTGGGATTACAGACAGGCATGAGCCA